TTTGTGATACTTACCTTTACTTATAAGCTCTAAATAGCATTTTTACTTTACAGAGTAATATAATAATTATGGAATATAAAAATTTTTATGCATTTTTATATTAGATTTTTGATATAAAATTATCTAATAAAATCACAAGGTAATATAGGCCTGATGGGCTTCAAGTCCCAGAGACTCATTGTTTGGAAAAGTAATATTAAGTAAATGATAAAAAATATAAAAATCTAATAGATAAATTCACCTGGTTTAGTGAATTGGTAAACAAATTTTCAATAAAAATGTCACTTTGTTTCTTTATTGCCTTATCTTATTAACAAGAATTTCTTATTCATACTTTTTATTTTAAAGAATAAATCCTAACAGCAAAAAGTGGTTGTTGATGTAATAACTCACCTTAACGTGCCAAATTAACACATATTTACAAGATGCGATCTGCCTGATAGGTTCCCTATTGTCATGATTAGATCGAGTGTCTTCCACATGCAGAGCACTGTGGTAGCCTTTTCAGTGTGGAAATCATATTGAAAATAACTTAGTCCTACAAAAATCTGTTTGAAGTAACAGTGATGCGTTTATTGCTTCAACAGAGCAGAAAGGATATATTCTAGCTATGTTATTAAATTGGAATAAAAGTGATAAAATATCAGCTGACTGCACCTGTTTTTCAAAAAAATTGAGGCAACATAATGTGACAAATGCCTAAATGTACAGTGATGAACCAATAATAATAACGTTGGAAGGTAAGAGTACTGTATAAAATGTGAATTTGTGGCCCACTTAAAAAGACATCTTTGGAGACTTAGTCTGTACCTCTGCACCTGGCCTACTCAGAGCAATAAATGTATTCTACTCCAACTCTTGGCTTTTTCAGCATGGCCCATTGATCGCGTTACAATTCCCTGTTACTCTGCATTTTAGACTATTCTCTGCTGCTAAGTTACCCACAGACACCGAGCCATCTTCCTGATGCTCCAGCATTTGTTTTCATCACTGAGCTAAGCAGTGTTGTTAGTAATGGATTTGGGGTTTCATAACCTCCTTATCAGGTGGCAATAGTTCTCTAAATCAAAACTGAATGCTCCCATTAGTATTTAAATTTATAAATTGTTTCTGATAGGTACCTTCTCAAGCAGACATATAAATTCCAAACTCCCTTGCTTTAGTACTTGAGGCTATTACATGCCTGTCAAAAGTTACTTTACAAGATATCATATCAGTAGCTTCTACTCTTCAGTGCATACTCAGGAGACTTGTAAGTAGTTAAAATTTTTACCTTTTACAGACACTTCTGCTATAAGGTACTGCATCTATGTATTGGGGTAAAATACGAAAATAATCGAAATTGAGTGAGCTCTTCTAAAACCTGCTTCTACTTCCAGGAGCAAATCTTATTTATCTGAGAGCCCCTAGCATGTCCTCTAGATTTTAGAAGTGAGTTACTTCCTTTATAAAGAAAGAGCTAATACTATTTTCGTGGTTATATCGCATAGGGCTATTGAGAATACAGGAGAATAATGAATACTGAAACACCTGGAAGATTTTAAAGCTTGCTGAGGACAATGACTGTGTGAACATGTGTATATAAGTGGAGAAAATTCACAAACAAATCTTTATTTGACTTGAGTCCTGATCTTATGGATGTGAACAGCATCACTATTTAATAAAGTTTAGAAAATAATAGGACATTGTTTCTAATTTCTTGAAACATGAACAGAGAAAATATAATATTTCATTTGCCTTTTTTGGAATGACAGAAGCCAATATTGACTCTGTCAGGACTGACATTGTTTTTAAGACATCATGGTATTGTATATTTAGTATTACAAACTTCTTAAACTCCTTTTTAATTTTCCAGAATTTTATAAATAGCAACCAATTCATTTCAGTTCCATTTCCCAAAAATTGGCATAAAATTGATGTGCTTTGGGGCCTCCAAAAATGTTAACAGGTAGTTGCTACAAATGCGTAATTTCGGGATTGATTTCACTGTAGAATCACACGTATTCTCCAAAACAAGAGGGACAGAGAAGTAAACGGGATGAGGACGAGTTTCAATAACCTCCTGCAGTCTCCCACACGGATGAGCAAACTCTGAGTCAAGGTGACAGAAAGACCGGGTTAAATTATTATACCGTGCAGTAAACAAGAAAAAGCCTTCACTGTGTTGTTCTAAAGATTTTGTATTAAGTTATGATTCCTCATATTGCATTGTCATTTCTAAATAGAGAGTAAAGTGGAAATTCTATGTAGCTATATTTTATTCAGAAATTTCAATGTACAAAATAATTAGTAATCACAAATACCAACAGGGACAATGATTGAAAATTCTCAAGATGGAAATTGGAATATGTCTGAGAAAATCTGACATTTCTGCCTTTCTTTCTTCTAGGCTGCTTTACCTGCCAAAACTGATCTTCCAGAGTTTTTTATTGCTTCTTATAAGTGGCCGGGATGGACTCATGACCCACTGGATCAAAAAAATTGTGCGGCATCCTGGGCATTTTCCACTGCAAGTAATAAAGTCATTTCCATTGCTTCCTTATAAATTCACCTTCAGTGCCTGGGAGGGTAATTAAAAGGTTTTTAAAATTAGAACTTTTAATAAATTAAAATAAAACCTAGCCAGAGAAAGCAACCTGAATATTATCATTTTTAGTAAGAAATAGTTCTTTTACACTACTTTTATAAAAGTTCACAAGTTCAGTAAATGAATTACTCAAGTTAACCCCAAGATTTGATCTCAAAAATTATACTTAAAGGAATACTGGCTGTATTTTAGCAATTAAACAGAACAAAACATGCTGATGACTGGCCACTCTCAAAGATCTTCATCAAGCTGTCTTGGAGGTTTGTAGATAAGTCCAAAGAGTCTTTCGCCAAGCTTAGGGCACTGAAAGCACTATGAGATATGCATGTAGGCTCTTGGAGAAGCCAGCTCCAAAGGGCAGCATGCTGATTCTTTTGTCTACAAATCATTACTTCATAGAGTCAGCCTGGTCATCATAGAATTGCCTTTGGCAAAATTTAACATTGTCCAAGCTCACCTCCACAGTAGTTTTACCTATTACTTCTGCCCTATTCCTACCCCTCTAGTACACATGTATTCCTGCTATCTGGTGTTTGTCTTTACTGAGTGAGGGATTCATGAGGTACTTTCTGAACCTTGCTTCATTCATACGGGTGGAGAGGGATTTCATCAAATTAATTACTTGCTGCTTTAAACTTAGGAGGTTAATGAGTTAACCTCCTAAGTCATATAGAAGAACACTGCCATTATTTAAATGAGTATTTCTGAAGAGATTTAAGGGAAATTGTTAGTGGTGAAGCCCTGAGAGCAACTTCTCAGGTGGATCTGGAGAGTGTTTTTGGTGTCTTCCCAGCTCCAGTCAGCACAAGGCTGCATCTGGACTGTCTTCTTACCTCAGTTACTACAGCTCCAGAGATTGTTCTCAACCCTTCTGGGGTTTCGGGGGACACAGTGTTGCATCTTGTGTATTTATTATGGTAAATCAGGTCTATTCTGTTTGTGTGCTAAATAGAGAAAAGAATAAGATCTGGTAAATTGTGTCTGGAAGTAGTTAAAAACATTTAAGAGAAAACAAAAAAGTACAAATGGAATAAATAAGACACATAAAAATACACACACACACACACACACACACACACACACACACACACAGAGACTTATGTAACAAAGTAAAATCCAATCTGTATGTCCAAAGCTGAAGAAGTGAAGACATTTGGAATGGTGGGAATGATAGAGGTCACAAGGTAACTTTGGAGACAGAATAAAATAAACTCAAGTCTGTCTCAGAGGTAGTGCCCAATACAAGTTCTCAAAAACAGAGTGGAAAACAATTGGCTGTTCTGAGTCATTCTTAAATCTTCTGACTTTCTTGAAATATTTCAAATGAATTTGGACTGAACTTTCATTGAGATCCAGAAACATCCACATAACTAAGAAGAACCCACTGCATAACATTAGGGCTGAAAACATGCAGCCTTAGTTGAAATTCAGATTTATGGGGCTGGAAGAGATGATAGAGGTCTCCTTCTTCAGCTCTCTGGTCTTACAAAGGAGGCTCAGGAAGGCAAAGTGACTTACCTGACACCAGAGAGCTGCAGTGTTGGAAGTGATCCTGAGTGCCAGGCTTCCAACTCCTTGATGACTGTTTTTGACTACAGTCCAAAAGCATTTTCTGAAAGAAATAAGCTGCACTAACATTTTTAAAAATTTATATTTAATTCTAAATTCTTGTACTGAGTGTGAAAGTACTAAGGAATTCCTACTGTCTTGTTATGCAGCCCAGCCCGGCCTTGAACTCTTGGCTATCCTCTGGCTCAGCCTCCCAAGGGCTGGGATTTCAGGCATGCACCACCATGCTCAGCTAATCTTTCTTTTATAAAACAAGGAGTTGTTCTCTTGAGAATGTCAGAGATATCAATAGAAGTCCATTCGTCACTATGAAGCATATCCTAATAAAATAATAGGTGGGAATCAAGGATGAAGTGAAAGGCTATAGATTTTTTTTTTTTGTACCAGGGATCGAACTTGGGTCCTTGCACTTGCGAGGTTATAGATTTAACAGTAAACTCACACTAAACATCTAACATGTGCCAATTGTACTACAGAATTGTACAGCTGCTAAAGTGTAATAAAAACCCTATACAGAGATACATATGTAAATAAATTCTTTTAAAATGAAAGATTTAAATTAACACCCTGAGAGAGTCTGATTCACAGACAATTTAATGAGAAAAATAAATCTGTAACATCCACTCAAAAAAAATAGAAGAAAGGTTGTGACCTTGTTGCCTTTAATTAACATTGAGGAATATAATCTAGCGGGTTTAGCCTAAGATTAAACATCAAAAACTGCTCTAAGTATTGAATAAAAGCATAAATCTGTTACTAGAATAGCATCCACCCTAACTTTCTCATGTTCTCAGCATTCACATTAGCTTATTGTGGAAGCAGGATCAAAACACAAACACGCGTTGATCTCTGCTGCTGGTTTGTTTCCCTGGCCTACTATTATATGCACTGGGACTCTTGTTTCTTGTTCATCACTATGAGTTCTAATGCTACAGTACTTGTAACTTAGTAAGTGCTCAATAAATGTATTCAGGAAAGGAATAAACTTGTACAACAATGCCAGGATATTTTTTAAACTGATGGGTAGAAATTCAATCATAAAAGTGAATGCATACGTATGTAACTGGTAATATTAATATAGTTTCAATAGTTAATAGTAATTATAATAACTGTATTTTTAGCTGTATATAACATTGTATGCCGCCAATTACATATATAGGATAGTTATATATAGTAATATATAATATAAGCATAGTAATATATAATATAAGCATAACTATAACAATATACTCTCTTGCATATATATAAAAGTGAATTCTATATCTATTGAAATAAACTTAAGATAAAGATTTGCAATCACATTACGAGCATAAAGATATGCTATGTAGCTTTTAAGTATTGCTGAGGACAGCAATATTTCATACAATTTATAATTGTGTGAATGAGCTGGAGTATGGTCTCCTGGGTAGTTACATTAGATAAAACCAAATATCTAATTTACTCTAACATGTCAAATTACCATGGATGTGTGATCAGTTTTCCTGACTTTCCCAGGTTACTTACATTCATTTAAAAGTATATTTATTCATAACAATATGCAGGACACTTTTTTAGGTTCAAGAAATAGAAATATAGGTAACATATGGTCTTGCCCTCAGAGAAATCTGCCACTTGACAGGTTTCTTAATGAAGAAGATGAAAGGAATAAGAAGCTAGAACAGTCTTTAAACTCAAAAAGTTACTGGAGCAGTGTGAACACAGGATAGACACTATGACATTATGACACAGTTGAACTGCCTGGAATACTTAGATAAACTGGTGACATTTTGCTCTAATTTTAAACTATGTACAGTTTTGAAAACTAAGGTTCAAACAAAAAAGGCTATGTAAATGGTAACACCATATGATGTACAGTTTGAATATTAATCAGTATTCTACTTGAAACAGGTGTGGCTGCTGATCGAATAGCAATTCAGTCCAATGGTCGATACACCGTCAACCTCTCCCCTCAGAATTTGATCTCCTGCTGTCTCAAGCACCGTTATGGATGCAGTGGTGGAAGCATTGATAGAGCTTGGTGGTACCTGAGAAAACGTGGGTAAATAGCTGCTCCGCATGTGTTTCTGGGATTCTTGTGGGTTCTGCCTTCAGTTAGAACAAATCAAAATTATTTTAAGGTTTTATTTTTAAAATCTAGGTTTGGGATGTAATTCAGGGGTAAAGTATGTGCTGAGCTTGATCACTGACATTACAAAAAAAGAAAAAGGAAAAGGAAAAAAATCTGAAAAACATCTATATAAACATAAATCAGTGTCACATTTAAATATACATTATATATCTACTGAAATTAAAGACTGTTGGAAGTAATTATTAAAGAATATGTACCTTTCCAGATAAATGCATATAACTATTAACTTGAAGACTCAAACACTTTCTTCTTGTTCCTCTGAACCAAATGGATCTATTGGTTCCTCACTGAGGGAATAAAATAATCAGTGTTGCTGATACTTCTGTTATGCCTTTTAGCTACCCAAGTTGAACAATAGATAACTCCAGAAAAAGTTATATTAAAAATCAGGAGAAAAAAATAAAGCATTTTATAGTTGTCTCAGGTCATCAGTGTCATGAATTGTTCCTGTCCCATTGGGTAAAAACAGACAGTGTCTGTCCTTACTCACATATGGCCTGATGTCCGCCCAGGGTCTCTGTGGAGACTGTTAAGAGCTCATCTACTTAAGCGCTGAGCTGTTCAGCTGAGCAACTGTGGCTGGAGACCCGTGAGTTTCATAGTGGCCCCTTGTTTCTGCACCACCTTCTCCGTGCTCTGTGTCTGCTGAGAAACAGATGCCATGAAAGCCAAAGAGTGCCAGATAGTGGTTAGTGGCTATAGATTTGAAAAGTTATTTTCATGTATTTTGCTTAATAAAGTAGTACTTTAAATGACAGACATCGGCTGATATTTTCCTGGTGTAAAATTATTCAGTTGACTTCTGTTTTGTTCTATAAGAAAAATAAAAGGTTTTTAGAAGCTTAAAGATATAAATTATCATTGAGACAAAACTAAATCTCACTGTATTAGTCTGCTTGGGCTACCATAGCAGAATATCAGAGGCCGAGTGCTGGAATAATAGACGGCAAGTTCAGGAGGCTGCCAAGTCCAAGGCCAAGTCACTGACTGACTCAGTCCAGGTCCTGGCTCCCTGCCAGGCTTGTGCTGGTTAGGGGCAAGTGAGAGAGTGCTGTGTACCCTTCTCCCCTCGCAGGGCACTCATCCCAGCCATAAGCCCGGATCACAGGTCTCATTTGAATCTAATCATCTCCCAGAGGCTTACCTCCAAATATCATCCCGCAGGCATCAGGGCTTCAACATGCGAGTTTCACATTAACACCCTGAAGGGCACAGACCCAGGGTTTAAACCAAATGCAGCACATTCAGTACAGACTTTTAAAAGCTTTGAGTCTTTTTAATAACTTCGTTTTCATCACACTGCAGCTCAAACTCTTATACTCTGTTGGACACTATTACATTTTCTTGAACCAACTTTAGTGAACACTTTTATGGGCATTTCAGCATTGAATAGTTAATGATCTAATTCTATGATTTTACTTCTCTTACCGCCTACTTCTAGATTTAATAGGATTGTGTTAGATTTGGAGCCAAATATTTTATACTTTGCTATGTTTGATTTCAAAATCAGAAATCAAAATAATTTTTAATCTTTTGTACAATGTAGATGTCTGATAGCTTTCTAACTTATTAATTTATGCATGATATAAGTAATATACTATTTCCCCCAAAGTATCATGAACTGCAGACATCTAATCATTGAAGCTTTATTTAAAACTATAACTTAAAAATGTCCACAAAACAAGCTCTGCCTAAGCAGTTCTCCACAGCCACTTCTTGGGTTTAATGGAGGAACTCTTTCCTGGGCACTGACCCCTCTGCTGCAACACAGGCCCTGAGAAAATAAAGGCTCAATTTGTTGTTTAAAAAATTCAACAAAACAACAACTAACCTTAATGCTAAAACTTACATCATTTGTCAGAGTATCCTATCTGTGAATAATCAAATTAGTTACCTTCTCATATTTAATTAGGGTATTCTACATTGTAATTGTATATGTACGGGTTGAAGGAGTCCTTTCCCTACTAATAAATATTAACTTAGACTTCGTTGCTGGCCACTTTTCATCTCTGGGAAATGCTATACAACAGATAGAATTATGTATTAAAATGTGTTGAAATAAGATTTTAAAATTTATAATGCAGAAATAACAGGGCAGGGAGGAATGTAATGTCATTAAGCTGCTGTGTTGGAGTTGGCATTTTCAAATCTGTGCTGTGTCTAGGTAACCAGCATGCTATATAAATGTTCAGTTCAGTAAAGGTGATTATAGATAAATTATGGCATTTTTCTAAATAATACCTTTGCTTGTTTTCTTATTTCACATAGACTGGTATCTCATGCATGCTATCCACTTTTCAAGGACCAAAACTCTACCAATGGATGTGCCATGGCCAGTAGGTCCGATGGGCAGGGGAAACGGCATGCCACAACACCATGCCCCAACAACATCGAAAAATCTAACAGGATCTACCAGTGTTCTCCCCCATACAGAGTCTCTTCCAATGTAAGTCTAAATGGCAGGAACTATGACTGGTAAACATCCTCAGACATACAGAGCTTTGCTGTTATCAATGCTAATGAAGATTGATTTGGAGCCCAAAGGAGATCAAAACCAAACCCAAAATTTTGACTTCAGAATTTGCTATTATAATCTAAATTAAACAGCATGTCATCAGATATAGTTTTTGATGTTCTTAAAATGTGCATTGAAGACTTTCAGTTTGGGTAAGATCTCTAATATATTATTAGCAATATTAAAGATTGGCTTAAATTCAAACAACACCCAAGGAAATAGGTTTTTATTTTTTAAACTTTATTTATTTATTTATTCATTAAGTTTATTGGTACATTTTAGATATACAATACAATTACATTCATCTTTGGGAACTTTTACCTTTACGTGATGTATCTTGGTTCTTATATTTTCCCCATTCCCATGCCCTCCCTTCAAGCCCTCCACCCCTCCCTATTTACAAAGACTTTGTTTCCATTTTTTCCTTTTCTCATATTTTTTCTTCTCCCTTCTTTCTTTTCTCCTAATTATGGTTTACAATGTATATGTGTGTATGTGCATGAACTAGAAAATTAAAAGCCACATCAAACTCTTTTCATTGACGTTTTATGATACTAGTTACTTTTCATCAAATATCTGTTTTACTCCACAAAGTAAATGAAGTGAATGTAGCCAATCAGCTCACTGTTACCTGACCTTCTCATTTTCAAGCTATCTGAACTTTCCGCAACAGCGAGTTAGCTCCAGAATATGATCCAGTATTTTTATGATGTCACCTAGGTCTTTCACCAATTGGTTTTGTCCTCCTACTTCGCAAAATCATGTCTTGCCAGTATTTACCCTCTCTACCCCTTCATAATTCTCCTGATATATGAGTCTAGTTTCTGTTCTCCAGATACAACAAGCCGTTTCATACTTCTCTGCTAAGCTATGTGCTAATTCCTGTAACTGACCCAAATGGTTGTTCCACCATTCCAGATGGTGAAATGTCACAGGAGTGTCAAAGCTAGGGCAAAACTTTGTCTCTATTGAGTTTTCCTTGACTTCTATGTGGGATTAATTTCTCTTTTATTTGCATCTATGGGAATTTATGTTTGTCTCTATAACAAAATATATTATACAATAATGAAATTAGTTGTGTTATTGTCTGTCTATACCACCAAAATCTAAAGACCTTGAGGGTACAGGGTCTATATATGTTTCTGTTATAGTTTCTAGTACACAGTCTTTGTTTAGTGTGCAAAGGTAATGAATGAATGAATGAAGGAAAGAAGGAAATCCATGCCTCTCTACTGGAGGAACATTGAGTGGCAACACAGAAATATTTACGCAGAAGTTACCAAGGAAACTCATAAAAGTCACTTTGGATAGTTCTTGTGATCAAAAGATTGAAGATTCCTCTAATCACCATGATAACTTATCTTGACTTAACTTACTATGGTTTAACCAATTTTGATTATTTTTTTCTTGGTCACCAAAAATTATTACATTTCTATTTGACTCCATAATTATTATTTACTGGTAAAAGTCAATGAAACAACTGGGCACATCTTGTCTTTAGCTACTTCACTAATGTGATATTTCACCTGTGACTATTTCAAAGCATCATTAAGAGTACATTGCAAGTGGTCAAGTCACTGTGGGTTTACAGCATCTACACTGAGTGTATACCAGCTAATATAAACCATGTCTCATAACAATGAAGGCACTCATGATGCTTTTTCATCCAGGAAACACAGATAATGAAAGAAATAATGAAAAATGGACCAGTTCAAGGTAAGCTTGGATGAAATATGGATTTCTGTTATTCATTTCTTTAATAAACAACATTACTGTGAGCTCATGTTAAAGTACTTTAACAAAAGACAAGATCTTTTACTTGGTAGTTCTCTTAAGAGTTCAACAGTACTAAAGTCAGTGTAGCTATGGGAGTTTTTTTCATCTAATTATATCATTAGCTGACATTTCATTTTAAGAAGATAGATTCATTTATGAATTGGACTGTTAAATATTAATGACACATTGATGGAAAGATCCTAAGTGTCTTCAAAGTGATCATGCACCAAAGAACAGTCAAACTTGAAATACCAAGAGATTAATTTGCAAAGAAGCTCATTTTGATCATATGTAAGAAAAGAACAGAATGGTAGATATTTATCTTTTTTTAAAATTGGTTAGGTAAGAAATTGAAAAACTTTAGGAATAATAGTGGAAACAAATTACATACATTCCTGTTTCTATTAGCTTAAAAGAAATCAAGCCAGGCATGATAGCACATGCCTGTAATACCAGCACTTGGGAGGCTGAGGAAAGAGGATCATTGTGAGTTAGAGACCAGCCTTGGCTACATAATGAGTTCAAGGCTAGCCTGGACTACATAGAAAGACCCTATCAAGAGAGAGAGAGAGAGAGAGAGAGAGAGAGGGAGAAATCAGTTCAAGTAAGCCAGTATGATTTTTCTGTTTTACAAAGGGCTTTTGAATTTGGCCAATTTTGTAAATGTGTTATTAGGAGTAAAATAGTAAATCATACAGTTACACAGTGAATTGCTGTACATTGATGTTAAGTTTAAGATATCATATCCTCTAGCAATTTCTTTCATTTAGTATTGAATTTTATCTTGCACAAATAACATGGGTAAGGATAAATTCACAGAACGTATTCCCTCCGTGAACATTGCCTGAAAGAACAAACCCCCTGAGGCATAAAATGGGAATTCAGGTTGTGAACTTGGAGAGGCTCTTAAATATTATCCATTAAGTAGAGTACACAATTATCTAAAATTAATCTGAAATGTTTGATATATAGTTAAAAACATTATTGGCCAGTTTTCTTTCTTTCTTAAGGCTGACCTAATTAGAATTAGGATGGAATTTATAATAATTGTATTGAGATAAATCATCTACTTCCTTGGAAGCCAAAGCTTATATTAAACATGTCTTGAATTTAATTTTTAAAATCCAGGATCCTTACACAAAATCTGAAATAAGTGAGAAGCTTTCATGCTCTGTACAGCTGTGTAATTCATTGACTATTATGCATGGGGAATTTATGTCTACTTTCATTGTGTGCCCCGTTAAGTAGGACTTGTTTGACAAGGGACATTTGAACTAAAGCCTAAACTCAAAGCCTAACTTTGGCATCTGTCACTTCAAAGAATTTGGTAATTTACTCAACTCCTCTGAATCCTTAAATCATTGTGCTACTGTTTCTGTCTCCTTACCCTCTTTTTAATCAAAGAAAATTTAAATCATAATTATTTAAAGTTGAGAATACCTTAGGCATACTTTATGGTCATATACATAAATGTTCACATATTTCACATGATTAAAAAATGAACAGAAAAAATTTCAAAGCAATAAAAGAAAAAATGGAAATTATTCAACACCCATTTAGCAAAGCTTTGTTGATAACCTACTTCCTGCCAGCCTGAGCCAGGGCCAGGACAGAGCCACAGAGAGGCCACTGCCTGCTTGCTGTCTGTGTGCAAGTTCTGATTCTGTGTGATAGGCGGCTGCAGCCTTCCAAGAATGAAGTCGCATTGCAGTAGCTTAGATGGTTATATGCTTATTATTTTATGTTCGACAATCTAGTTTGGTCTCAGGAGCTGAAGAGGAAGGTCATCTCATCTTTTAGTTGGCAGTGTTTTTGGCAATGAAGAATATATTTTATTCGTGGTCCTTAGAAAAGAGCTGAATCATACAAGTTTAAAGATTCAGTGGTTCTAAAGAAAGAAAAATCATTGGCCATATCGGTATATTTTTATGAATGGATAGAATGCTGTTTACTTTTTTCTGTAGATGGAACATGATTGTCGGTGTTTCATTGCCTGGCCTAACATACAGCATTTCCCTTGTCTCAGTACAAAAGATGTCAAAAGAATAGAACACTCAATAAATAACACTGTGCATTCTTCCAAAATCTGTGGAATTAAAAATAATCATAGGTAATGGAAAGAGAATAAAAGAGATCTGCATAGCATGTAGTTGTATAAATTCTTAAAATCCTTTGGGAGGATGTTTTAGAGTAGATAAAGGCTTAACCTCTTTTAAGACTATTTGAACAACAGCAGAAAAGACATGGAACATTAAACATGAAATAAATGGAATATTAAAAAGTTATATTTGACTTTCAAGTATGAGCTTTTAGGATCTATTGAATGCTAGTGACCTTAGTTCCTGTTTTATTTCAAAGGCAGGTCGAATTAAGATAGAGAAGCATTGCTCATAGTTATCAAGATTCCCAATTGAAAAGTCTCAGTTCATGCCTTCCAGAAGAGAAGTTTAAAGTCCTTACCCAGAGTTTCCCAAGTGCTTCCATAAAGCAACACACAACACAGAAAAGAAGTAATCTGGGCGAGGGACAAAAGAGAGCTTTACGGAGTACAAACTCAACTTTCAAAGAACACAACACTGGATTTGTTCCCCAGGTGGGAGGTGAAGTCCTGTCAGCAGTGTATTCTTTTGCCAGGGGTTGTTTTTTGTATTCAAACTCAGTTAGGAAAGGTTTGCATTTCCTTGTAAGGTTTAAGAACAATTTCTGCAAGCCTTAGTGGCAGGGTCACCTTTCTCTGCTGGTTTACTTGAGGTTTTAAAAGGCTTGTGGTGAAGCACAAGGTTAGGGATGAATGTTCATCACTCACCAACTGTAGTGGGCCTTGGCTGCCAGGGCCAACATGCCTTCGTGATGAAGCCTACAGGTACATTTATGTTATATAATATATTATATTATATTATATAATAGTCCAAGCAGCTAAAGTTCTTTGTGTAAAACAATAGGAAAATGTCATAACTAATTAAATGAAGTAAGAAAACAAACTAGGCTGAATTATGTAATCCTGTCTTAGATTCAATTCCTTGCAATTTCCCTGTCCAGTGTTCTGGAAGATTTCTGGAGGCTTTTAAAGATGAATTTTTAAAAACTGTACTATTTGTCCCATGGGGTTTTATTTTAGCCATAATGCAAGTCCATGAAGATTTCTTCTATTACAAGACAGGAATATATAGACATGTTACCAGCACAATTGAAGATTCAGAAAAATATCAAAAGCTTCGGACCCATGCAGTCAAACTTACTGGGTAAGGCAATTTCTTAAACTTCGTTATTTGAAAGAATTTGCTTCATGTTTGGAAAATGAAACTGAAAATAAGACTAGATAATGCATTTAGATATATGAATTCTCCTTTGTCTGAGAGATTCTGATACAAGTTACAAATTATTTAAATCTTACCACTATTTTTGTCATTATTTTAGAGCCCAGTGAAGGCTAACTCAATATTTCAGGAAAGATGATCGTTTCCTGCTTCTCACTTACTTGTGAATATGAGCATAAGAATTTGTTCTAAAGGCAAAAGAAATATGTTATTGGACTAAATTGTACATATGGCATAGTCAAGGGTAAGGTGCAAATCCATACCATGTTCTACCTGGGCAAAAGGTCTTAAATGAAATTGCATATGTTGCACTGGGGCAGGAATAGAGGGTGAGGTTCACCTTTCATTCTATGAAAGTCATAGAGAAGGTGAGAATTGTAGGAATTGCATTGATCAAACTTGGAAGTAAAATAGACTCATCTATGCAAGGGCAAGAAAGAAGTTCATAATTCTGAGAATGATTGTGTGTTAAGAGTAAATAGTTTCACAAATAGGTCCTACCCAGGAAAACAGTATGACTGTGAACTCACTTTGCCCAGCAAATACCTGCTCAGTCTTATTTTGACTGAGCCTGGTTGGTGAGCTCTTTCTCAGTCTCAATCAAGTTCAAATGGGATGTTACAGAAAAGTTCTGCTTTTCTTTCCATTCAAACCTTTGCTGTCCTGATCTTGCTCTTATATACAGCCGAGAGCTTCATTCTGTTGAGCTGACATGAACAATCATCACCATCTCCTTACTCATCTCAGAAAACTCAGCGAATCAATTCTGAAGTATGTAGACAACTATTTTATGAGAGGCCTTTTTCATTATCATCTCTCCTTTATTTTAAATACCTTAACATTAGACTTTCAAAATCATCACATCTTTGAATCTAAGACACCACTAATTCTATGAGTTGTCTTGATTCAGGGAATCAGAAATTCAAAAATATGGTGTACCATGAAGGATATATGTAAACATCCTACAAGAAAAAATGACAGGAAAAAGAATAATATAATTTCACCATCTAGAGATAATGTCTGTTGAAATTTTGGTATATTTTATGTATCTCTTAGATATATAGCAATAGAGAAAGAAAAAGAAAGGATTTTATAGGAAAATAATATGCTAAAGTACTGAAAATTTTATGAGAAGGGAACTTTGGTAATAGAAATATATAAATATGCCAGTCTATCAACATTTTTTAAAACACTGAATATTTTCTTTCTTACTTTAATTCTTTTGTTTTTCATAGTTTTTCTTACTTAACATCATTGTATTTTACAGACCTATGATAGTTTCCTATTGCTTTTCTTTTTTAGGTTATTTGGGACAATGTGCTTGCCTTAAAATAGATATATGCTTACCATTAAAAAAAAGATAGTTAAAAAATCATCCCAAATCATACTCTTAGAAATCATTGTTAACTTAACAGTTGGTAAAACATGTGTTGATTTTGTGTTGACGAAAAGTTAGAGAGAGAGAATAAAATGGAAAATATAGGCTATGACATTTTAAAATACTACATTCAGGTTAACTTTACTTGAATAAAACGAAATATAATAAAATGTTATGGAAATTGATTATTGTTGATTCTTCATTATGTTATTTCTTAAAAGAACACTTTTTACACACATGTTAAAAGAAACTGGAATAATAATCTATTTTAAAGTTGTATTTTAAAATCTATTGATTTGTTGTCAGCAGATAATTTATTACTATTATACTTCTTCCAACCCTTCCATCAAACATCTAACATTTGTTAGTTATATTATACTATCATTTCTACAGATCAAGGGATTTTAAAAAATCTTCATTCTACTCTGAAACCATAATTCAGCAGCTGTTTATATTTTATTGCATATTTGTATAGAATTTGATAAGTATCTTTTGATGATGGCTCTCCTATCTTTTAATTTAATTTGCAGTAATTATTTGATCAGATGAGCTTTTTTCCAACAAAACTTTTAAAGCAAAAAGCACTCATAAGGATTGAGTTACTTAGGTTCTTGTATGTTTGCAAAAGAGATTCTTGTTTTTATATTGAGGAATAACCTAGTTGGTATAAAATCATGGGACTGTAGAACCATTGGAACATTGCTGATGTTGCTTCAGGTTTCCAGTATTGAGTCTTCCTGCAGAAAATTTTCTGGACAATCTGATGTTTTGTCCCTTTCCAGTGACGTGAACTTTTTCTACTTAAATACTCATACTTTTTAAATCCTTGAATTTAACATATTCACTTTTTAATCATGCCTACTGTGTATATGCTGGATTTTCTCTCTTTTCCATAATCTTTTATAATAGTATTTACATTGTAGTTCTCAGCATTCTCATGTATATAATTTCTCTACTCTGATCCACCTAGTCCCAGACTTTTATTGTATTTGGCATTCATTCTGCAAATGGCTGTTATCTCTGAAATGTTTTTAAATTCTTTCTCTTCCTTTGTATTTGGTTGTCTTATAAAATATTTTTTGAGTTATATTTAGGTAATTCATGCATATAATTTGCGTCTGTATCTGAATTATTCAGTTTGCTTGAATAATTCCATTTGAGCTATATATTCTTCATTTGACTTTCTTGTATTCTTTGTAGAAATTTAGTCTCAAATCTATGCATTTCAACTATCTGAGTAGCTCTTCTAATTTTCCAGTTCACACCTTTCACCATTCTGAGCCCAGCAGTTCTTGCCATGAGTTATTCCATTCAATCAGACCACTACTTAACTATCACTCTTGTTGCTCATCTACCCTTCTTTAGGTAAAATATCATGGCACATCTTCATAATCACTCAGTCACATATGCCCTGGATTTGTTTGTCCCTTGCTTGATATCATATTAGCTTGGCAAAACTTCAATTTCAGTTAAATTCAAATCATTCTCGATAATGTAAAATTGGAAGAAAAGGTCCAAAGGGGTAGGGGTAGTGGGAGGGGCAGGGGAAAGGAAAGAAGGGAAAGGAAAAATGATGAGAAATGGAAAAAATGGAAACAAAGTCTTTGTAAATAGGGAAGGGTGGAGGGCGTGAAGGGAGGGCTAGGAATAGGGAAAAAATAAGAACCAAGATGCATTATGTAAAGGTACAATTCCCAATGAGAAATGTAATTGTGTTGTATACCTACAATGTACCAATAAAAGAATTTAATACAAAAAAAATTCAAATCATTCTGTTTTGTATTTGCAAATCTGCATCCGAACAAAGTTGCAACTTTTCTGTTCTCACTGGAATTTACAATGACAAATTTAAAGTAGAGGTCTAATACTACCAGGTAATCATGTTCTGAGTTCTTGTTCTGTTTTTTCTCTCACTTTTCAAGTGATTATCTCAAAACCTGTCCCCTTTCCTTGAATTCCCAGTATTTCCCTCCTCTGGCTCTTAGAACCTTGTGTTCCACTTCACTGAAAAGACTGAAGGAATCAGAAAACTCCCTGGTATCACAGTGCTACCTATCAGCATACACTTCCTCATAATCTTTCTTTCATCTCTTATGTAAGTGGACCATTCACATCCTTTCTAATTTCCTTCTTTTATATTGTTCACCCAGTCCCTCTCAACTATTCAAGAATGCACAGAAGCAATTTTCCATTTTTTCTTCTCGGTAATTTTAAAATTTCTTTTACTAATGTTTTTACTCCTCAGTTTGAATGAAATTAAAAAAGAAGGAAAAAGAGAGAAAGAGAGGAGAGAGAGAAAGGAGAGAGAGAGAGAGAGGAAAAGAAAAAAGAAAGTACTTTTCTCTTGATTCCTTTTCTTCCATACCTCCTCAGCCTTCTCTTCTTTCAGCAAACTACTTGCAAGGTTTGCCTGTATGCTCTTAACTGCTCCCATTAAAATCACAGCAATCCTTTGGTTATTACTGCCTTGCTCTTCCTATACATATTTATTTCAAGATTGTTAGTAGCCTTCCCCTTATTAAAACCATTGGTCACATTCCAGACCCTCCCATTCCCTGTAGCTGGTTTTCCCTTACTGGCTGCAGCTTTGCTGTGTCCTTTGCCAATCTGTTTGTTTGCTGCAGGACTGGGGATCGCACCCAGGGCTTCTTGCATACTGGACATATACTGTGCTCTACCCCTGAGGTGCATCCTAGGTCAGTGTCCCAATCTGACCTTTATCTCCTGATCCTCCTTATTCAGCTTTCTCAGCCTCCCACAAAGCTGCTATTGCATGCTCTATGCCAAGAACTATTTGTTTTTGTCCCCTGTTCTTATTCCTGTACTACTACATTTCTCAGCAATGAAGGCCTCCAGTCTCAAGTCTTGGTCCTCCTCTCCTCTTGTTATCACTCGTTTTTCTGGTAAGCTCAATTGCCTCTGAACTCATCTTGGTTTAAACACTATATAAAAGCTGGCACCAATTTGGATTATATTTCTAGATGACTTTTCTCCTGAACTCCAGATTCATGTATTCTGTGGTCTCCTTAACATCTCTACTCGGATACTCCTTACTAGGAAGGTAGGTGCTTCAAATCCATTGCTTTCAAAACTGAACTCCAGGTCTTCTCCTTCATCCTTGTGCACAACACTATTTTTTCCATCTTAGCTGATGGTAACTCCATCCTTCCACATGCTCTTCATGAGAAGCTTAGATTTATCCTTTATTCCTTTCCCCGCAACTCAGTTTTGATGTGTCACAAACTCTGTGGGCTCTCCAAACTCATGTCCTGAAGACAACACTTTTCACTGAACCACCACTGCCCTTCCCCATTAGCTTGTACCC